AGAGGAGCGTGAGGCAGACATGCAAAAACAGCAGAGGTGGAGACAGAAGGATGACAGTGAAGACCTGAGCAGGAGGAGAAGAGGGGAAAGGGAGGGAGAGAAGGAAAAGAAAGATAAACACTTAGGACTTGCCAGTCATATTTCTGTTCGGGGATCTATAAACATCCTGCTCAGCTAAGAATAACAGAACATCAGCCTAATAAAACACAAAGGGGCACAATGAGGAGGAAGTAGGGATGCACGAGTAACAAGTCAACCTGGGAGGAAACAAACATGCACCAATAGTCCTGGAATTACTGCTTCAAGTGTCAGGGAGGGATCAACGACATGCCCCTCTCAAAGAGGACGCAGAAGTTATCCAAGCAACCAAGTGGTATAGATTAGATGCATTCAGCATGACCGCAACTCGCACGCTTACATGTGACCTTAACAGAGTTAAGGTCGCACGCTTACATGTGACCTTAACAGAGTTAAGGAACAGACCGCCTATTTCTGTAAGCAAGAAACACATTAAAGATACATGACCTCAATGATTAATCGGTGGGGCTGGTGGTGCAGATGGCAGTTAATCTCTTACCTCTTGACCCAGTCAGCCTAATGCATACCTGGTCCTGCCAGCTTCCTAATGCCTCAGCGAGACAGGCCACAGATAGATAGCCAGTACCATCACGAAGCCACTACGGTCCAATATGTTCTTGACCATGTGTCCAAAGTTTAGAGCAATTCAGTTAATTAGTTGATTGCTGGGTTCAAGCATAGCTCTTTAAAGCGCTTGCTGTACCAAATCTGCTCTACTTTTAACAACGCTGACCTTACGTTGGAGCCTTTTCACATACAAACGACATGAACTTCTTTGGGTTTCTAAAGGAAAGCCTTTCCAACTGCTGTCAAAAATCTTCCATTATTCACCTGTCCCTGAACTACAAAGAGGCTAGCTCCATGCTAGTTCCTTGCTTCTCTGTAGTGACACTGACTGGAGCCCAAATGGTCTTTGCAACAATCTCACTCCACAAGAGGAATGTGAAACTTGCATTATTAACATTGTTTCCCCTCTGAACACCCCCGCTAGTCCTTACTACTACTACTACGACGACGACGACGATCATAAATCTAAGGCAATGTGGCAAACACAGAGCGAAGCTGATGACGTTCAGTGCCAAGTGCTGTGCTTTCCACCACCCAAGTCACCCAGCTCTGCAGGTATGCGGGGCTCAATGAGTAGGACCCCCAGAAGTGAGCAGGAACAAATGAGTTGAATCCAGATTCCTGTGGGCTGACCATCACTGAAAACACATCATATATCAGTGTCCTCTGCGATGTATGTGGAAAATTATCTCTTTACACTGTTGCCAAGTGCTTACTCATATTGAATAGTTTGAGAAACCCAACCAATGGAAGATCTTTTTCTCTTTATATGTGATGTAGTATTTTATACAAGATGATGGCATTTTGGAAGAGAAATGCCTTCTTGATGGCACAGACTTCAGTGCAGCATAACAATCTTGTTTTGCACTCTGAAACAGTTACACCACTCTGATAAAACTAAAGAAGTGAAGGTTTCTGACAGCAGTAACATACAAAAGATAGAAGCGCAAGCCTACTGTAAGTAAGCTCAGGCGAGAAAGCAACGTGTGGTTAAAACAAAGAGGTCGATTTTGAACTTCCTGGTAGAGACAAACAGAGGCCTACTGAGGTTTTAACAGTGCTTGCAAAACCATTTTTTCAAAGCAGCTTGCATATCCTCTGTACAGAAAGGAAAATATTTGACAGAAGAGAATTAAAAATGCCTGAACAAACAAAGACATTCCTTATTCCTCCATCAAAGAGTGAATTTTGGAGTCATGGTAGGCTACTGATTGCCGGCTATGTAAAATGTAACACTGATAACAGATATTAGTAATAGATAGGGCGCACTTCTCTTTTTGCACGTTCAGTATTTAAGACCAAAAACTGAAAACAAAGGTCCTATTACATTCACATACAGCAAAGTAAGCCTATATGTTCGGAGCTTCCAATGGCATGAAAGTGAGAAGAGATCAACTTACATTTATTGTCAAATGGACTGAAATAAGCTGAAAATGATGACAGCACAGTGAGACTAATGCACCTTTCTAAACTGGCGCATGGAGCAGTACCTAAACCTACCGAATATCCTGGTAACTATTTGATTTTTTTTTCTTTTAAGACCGAGACCTAGAATATTCTCGTTTTCCAATCTGAGTGCTGTGACATTTCCAATTTCAGGGGCAACACCCCACAGAAAATCTCAAAGGAAACATGAGTGGGTGTAGCAACAAAAATAGGGTGGCTGATTTTAAGGGAAATCACCAATCTAAATGAAACAACTAAACCCTTTATTGTTCTTATCTGTCAGGTGCAATGCCGAGAAATCCAGCGCCTGACATATAATTAGTTACGATTTTGAAAATGCATAAACAAAGAGCACACATAAACAGGTACGAACGGAAAAAAAAAAAAAGAGTACTCACCAGTATATCTGCGGTGAAAATACAGACATGAATTCACACCTGCTGTCACTTCTGCTGGGGGATCTAATTGCTGCCGCTTACTTCTCTTTACTTTTATTTTTTTATGTATTTATTTATTTTTTCTCTTTGTCTACCACAAAAGCAAAACGGGATGCTCACGCAAAGCGAAAGTCACTGTTCAGCGAAGTCTCAAAAGCCTGCCCTTCAAATTGGTGCGTCTGATCAGATCCACAGCTGTGGCGGAGCATTTATGCGAGAGGCGTGTACTCGAGCAGCCAGAGACACACCTCTCCTCAGCACGAGCCAAAAATCCTCAATGGCAGCTCATTAACGACAAGAGCCAATCAGAGCACAGGCTGACTGGAGCTCATCCAGCCTCCGGCCCTGATGACGGCAAACGCGGCTGAACCCGCTCATTGGGGACGGGCGAAGAGATGCTGCGCGATGATTTGCAGTCTCTAAGGCAACTAAATGACAGCCTTACCTCCCTTTGAATGACAAAAGCACTCCGATTCGCCCGCTAGTTTATTCGTGACATTTATCCAAATGAGGAGGAAAGAAAGGCTCATTCATAAATATATTCCAAGGGCAAGTCAATGTCTGTAGACTTCGGCAACAACGCAGGATGGTATTTATTTATTTATTTTGCAAGCCTTTACTGTGTTATATCATAGAATGCAAGCACAAGATGACCACAGATTGTTATCAAATTATTGTCAGCGGATTTTGTTTTCCATGACCTCACCATGCTTATTCTGTGTTTTTGATCAATATCACATAGTCGACCTTCACACCTCATAGAATGCCTATTTGCGTTTTCCGAGCACGCCATGTACTGTACATTTATTTCAGAAAGAGCAGGTGCACTCTTCAGGGGCTGATGATATAATGCAGGTAGGACTCCACTGCCCCCTTGTGACCAACTAAAAACAAGTTTGATTTGTTGCCCCACTCATTCAAAACACTTTGAAATAAACGCCTTTATGATACAGCAATTAGTATCTACAATATTTCTTATATGGTTCTCCTATTTAAAAACATCTTCATTATGCCATTGACACAACATCTTGTTTGAGGCAAATTCACGCCAAACAGGCATGGCTTAGTTACTAAAAAAGAATTTGGATTGCAAAGTCTATATACTATATTTGCCACTTGCCAGCTCATGCTCTTTGAGACTTGGGTAAAAGGTAATGCCTCAGCAACAGATAGAAAGCTGAGCATTACAATATAGCTCCTCTGGGTATGAAGTCCTGTGGTGCATGCACAAAGCTGTTCAACAATGTGTCCATGTAGTTTTAAGCCCCTGCACTGTGGGCACTGTGTGGGTGTTGGAAGGGTTGCATATCTCACCGCAGTTATATTTTATTTAAAGCCCCTGCATAGTACTCTATAGGACATGCACACCCTTGAATAGGCTGGAGCTAAAGTTAGCAGCATTTGCCACTGATGTCATTGCAGCATCTTGTTAGAAATATAAACAGGTATTTTCACTTGGTTCTTTGCCATCCTATATATTTATATACCATTAGCAGCTACCTTGGGTGTGAGTGACTCAGCCAGTTACATCATCACATCACTGTCACATGATGTCATGGGAAGCACTGAGTTTGGCGTCCCCTAACAAGACATCAAGAAACAACATATGCAAGATTTAAGATTCACTGACACCAAATGCCCACATGATGTCACCAGTGTCAAAGAAGTTTCAAAGACAGGACTGAACAAGATGGGTGGCAGCCAACAGGAAATGCTGCTAGCCAGGTTAAACTCATATTTAGTAATTGCATGAACTAATTTAAACTAAAGTGATTTGTTTTACAGCCCTCTCAATAACTGCATGAAATATGATCTGCATGAAACATAATCAGTTTATAGTTACTTTTTTAGGACAACACATTTAATTTGAGTTTATAAAAATATTATTTATGTTAATTGTCCTCAAAGTTTAGCACTCAATACCTCTTCTTTTCCTTTATTATGGCCCTAATGCCTTTTTTCTGTAAAAAAAAAGAAAGATTTCTAAATATAGAAATAAAAAACCTGACCTATCAAAGTAACTGTGACAAAAAAGGTGAAGGAAAATATTTACGATGCTGCGAATGAATAGTTTAGAAATGATGTGTCTGTGAAGTGAGCGTTGCACTATTTGTTAGCATAAAGCACAGTGTTTGAATGCATGATTTATTTTGCAACCACACTGCATGAAACAAAAAGACCTGCTTCTATTTGTGCATCAATGCCTCTCCTAGCCCTGATACTGGTTAATTATAATTGATGACTAGTTGATTGTAAATGATTTTAGGATTAATTACATTAACTTATCTCACAACCATGTAAAGTTAAATCTGATAATGTGAACAGTCCAAATACACAGTAGAATGGATAGTGTGTCTATAGCAATCCTTTCCCTCACTTAAAAAGCATAGAATCAAGAGAATGGCGACCCCCACTGTTCAATTTGCAGATGTGCTCACCAGCTACTTTTTTTTCATGGCTTCACAAAAACAGCTGCACATCTGGCCAGGCATGGATGTCTCGGTGGAGCAGAGGGGAGGCCGAGGACCAACTGCACAATGTGTAAATGAACGAGGCCCTGAAGGGGACGGCAGTCAACAAGCACCCGTTGTGTTCCTGGCTGCTTTTCAAAGTAGGCTTAGGTTTCTTCTTGGACTATGATCATACCAAGTAATGCTGCATCTGTCATGGTCTTCTTTTATTTATTTTCGTTCTCTTTTTCATCATCACGGTTCTCTGCTTTTGCTGACATTGAGCACAGCTTTGAACAGAAACCTACTGGAGAAGCACAGTAAAGACATATTTCTCAGTCTCAAGAATGCGCAGCAGTTCTGTGTGTTACAGCCAGGAAACATGTTTTTGCAGAATAAATCTCTCCTCCATACATCAGCCTGACAGTTTCCATTTTCACACTGCTTTTTTTCCCCTTTCTTTTTTTAAAAATATGTGTTTACGTCCATTAGTGTAAGCATGTGCATTCCTGTATTTTGTACCCTGTTTGGGAATATGAGTGCTTGTAATTTTTTCTTATTCATTCATGTGTGTTTGTGCATGTGTGTTGCTTAGGGACATCTGATCACCGGGCTTGCCGCACGCCACAGCGCTTGCAGGTGGTCTGTCTGCACTTAGGGGCCGAGAACATTTAATATTTCATAGGAGCAGAGTACACCCCTGGACGCCGTCATTGAGTCCACATGTCCTGCAAAAAGAAAGCTGGTCTGTGAACACTCGGCTGAAATATGCGGCCTGCCGGCCCCCTCTCCACCATGCTGCTCGCTCACTTGCTGGGCCTCACAATTAAAAGCTAGCTACAGCTACAGATGTTGGCAGCTGTCTTTAACCCTTGATGTGCCACTCTGTTATTACAATCTGCTATTTTATCCTGTGTGAAATGTAGATAAAGGTCAGGTAACTTACCAGAACGTGTGTTGGTTTACAGAAAAGAAGAGGTTGTGCGCTGGAGAAAGAAAAGCAGAAGCCAAGAAAAAGCCAGACAAAGAAAAAAAAAAGGAGAGAGAGAGAAGAGAAAACAGCAAGAGTTTCCCAAAGCATTTCATTTTGAGAGGTTCCAGACTGAGTGTGCGAGCATGCAAGCTAAACCCTCAGCTCCAACAGTTTTAGTGCCCCCTCCAACCTCTATTCACCATATAAACAGGAAACCAAAACCAAAAGTGTTTATAACCACCTTGCAAAATCCAGTGTTAGGAATTTCAAGCTCAGGTCAGAATTTCTTTCACCATTCGTCACATTCCAGCGAGGCCAAACCTTGCTCTGTATTTGCCGTCATGTACGCTGTGGAATTGGACTTCGGCCAAAGAGAACAGAAGGAACTTCACCGGCACCATTATTCAGCAAGGTCAAACCCGATTTAGGTTTGAAACCAAAGCCAAAACAGGGCATCTTGAAACTGTTAGGAAACTATTCCAGATCTTAAACAGACCAGGGGGACTGTGTACATCTCCCTAATTGCACATGTCAATTTATGTACAAGCACTTGGTTTAGTCAAGCTCCATTACCCCCCCACCCTCCATCCCACCTCACTTCTCTTTTTCATCTTATTCACAAACTGAGCTCGGTGGATGGATATGAAAATTATAACACATGATTATGTGTGTCGCTCACACCATTAAGGCATGTATTCTTTAGTGGGGTAAACGGTGAGGTAAAGAAACACACACACACACACGCACACGGGCGCTCAAAACAAGTTGCTGAGACAAACCATTTCAATTCACAGCTTGACAGCTTGTTAATGTTGTGTGACTTGTCTGGGAACAAAAGATGCATTGCAGAAACTCAAGATTGCATGTAATTAATCCAATCCCAGCAATAACTCTCTCAGATGTTTACTGTATTCCGCTATCAGTGCTTAGGGAGACAAATGAAGACCTCACACATCCATGGGAGTCTGCTGCTTCCAGATAGAGCGGATAGCAGGGCAGGTGAAAGAGCTGTTGCTTGCTTCTTAAGCCGCCGAGCACTATATAATGTTTTAACACACTTATTATAACCCTTTAGGGATCTAACTACCATAATGCTGTCATCACCTGGTCTCGGAGCTGTGGCGCGTTTGTGTGACACAATCGTCCGTGAGAGAGAACCATGGGAGAGCGACCAAAGCAAACACAAAGCAGAGATTACGTAGGCTTTCCCCCATGAGATTTGGTCTTTAATAGATCTTTAATTCACATTGATTGCTGACATAAATATTTATATATATATATTTTACCCAGTTTCATCTTTACATGGCAGGGCTGGAGCGCAAATTATTTCAGACACCAGTCCTTAGCGATACTAAGTAAACACAGGGCCAGTATTGACAATACCAATATTGATACCAATACTTTAAAGCTTTAAATGCAGCTTTTGTAGGGGAGAGCAGTGTCTCATGATTTATGAGATGAATCATAATCCAATTTGCAAATTCTGAAAGCAATAACCACTAAATCACTGTGATTTTTACTTTCTATAATAATAAGGAAGTTAACAAAAGAAGAAACACCTTTCAGCTTGTCATGTATTTTGAAATTGTTTTATTTTTAGACCTTAAATGTAAATGTCCCTGGCTCTAAAGCACTTTCTATAGCCCACAAAAATGCATGCAACAGTAAGAACAAAAAGGTTCTGATATTTTTTAATAGTCCTTTAAAGATATATTTTTAAGGTCAATTTGATATCAGTCTGATACCAATACCAGCATCAGTATCAATGCTATTGATATTTAGGTAGATCTGCACACCTCTAGCAATGGTTCATTATATGGTGCCTCTGCAGGGGGTGGAGTACTAGTGGGAAAATTGAGGAGCTAAATAAAAATGGATTTTTATTAAATAAAGTTTACCGATGCGATCATGAAGACCTTTTCTCCAGAAAAGTTCAACTGGATTCTTTAAAAAAAAATTCCTAATAAATGTAAAAAAAACCCAAAACATTAAAATTGTGACGTATGGCTCGTGAAATTGTTCCTGCTTCCGAGGTGGAGCTTGCCAGGAAAAGTTCAAGAACTGCTGCATTTGGGGAAAGGAAAAAAAATCTGTCAATTAAAAAGAAATCTTTTCACAACAACTTCACAGTGTCTGTACCCTGGCTATTTTAGATTTTTGAGTAAATAGCCATGTTTGCAAAGCAATCTTCTGATGGACACTTTTAAATCTAGATGTAGGATGAAAGTGAGGCAAGGCTCTGGCACGGTGACCTCAAAAACAAAAACAACAAAGCTGTAAAAGTCAAATCATCTTTCTCTGCATCTGTAGGACAATAAGACAAAAAACTAAACTAAATTTTAAAACTGTAAAAGTTGTATACTTATTATGCAGGAGCAAACAACCACCCAGAAGCATAGCGTGGTTACAGTCCTATCTGTGATTCAGCTTTGGTGGGGTTCTTGATTTGTGGCACTACATGATTAATCCTGGTTGGTGTGGAGGACGGTGACTTTCATTGCCCTGTTGCGAGCCATAATGACTTCAAACACTAGGGTAGCCTATTCAAACAGGATTAGCTGTTTTCCCCACTTCACACAGACAAAATTACCCTAACCCACCAAATATTTCAATAGTGGGTACATTGGGTTGCTAAAATAACTTTAAAAGGTCACCCAAAGCCATCATCAAGGATTGTTGCCTCACAAGTTCTGAGTTACACTGAGAGGCGGTCAGGATGTCTTCTGGGCTTTGCAAAGAGGGGAGTCACTCTCCTGGTTCACAGGAAAGATGGCCAAACATGTTTGCTCATGCCATGGGACACAGTGTTTTCAGGGGAACAGCAGGAGCAGCACGGGGTGGGGAGGAGTGAAAGAAAGAGCGAAGGAGTCTGGTGGCCACATGTCGCTGGTGCTGCTCAGTGCTTGGATATTGCAGTCTTTCGTGTTAAACATCGACACATAGGCTGAAAATAAACCAAATACAGGGTTAGAGTTGTGGACTGACGTAGACAGGCCCCATCTAGGATTTCTTCACAGTTCAGGGCTGAAAACCAACCCTGATCTTCAAAGTTTCACCTCAAAACACTCTGAATGACTTAAATGCTTCAATATTTCTATTCATCTCCAGATTTCACTATAATACCAATGACTTAGTTCAGGTGATGTTGCAGCCTGATGTTTACGAATTCGGATGACCGTAATTCTGCTTCAGATCTAAACATCTAAACTCTCTTAAAGTGCTGCAAAACACAGTTATTGATTCCACTATAGCTGAAAAATTATATGCTGGTACAATGCCAGCCCTGTTGTCATATTAAGAGCAGACATGCCTATATTAGTGTCAGCGACACAGAGAGGTACGTCTCATTACCACACAGTAAAACCGGTAAAAGAAGACTTTAATTGCTTGGTTGCTGTCCTTTGAAAAGCCAAGTTTTCCTTGGAAAAAAAAAAGCTTCCAAAAGCAGACAAACAGAGGTTAAAGCAGGAGGAGAGAGCCACATCAAACGAGGGGAGTACATGAATCTGTCAACAATGAAGGGCAATTACTGTAGGAGCAGCACCCAGCCTTTGGGAATATGCTGTCAGCTTTGTCATTAAAGGACTGACCTGCACAGGAGAATCCTCAGGCTAGCTCGCATACTGCTGCTGATTTGCTGTTACTTAGCGAAATTTTGTGATCACAGTCATGCAAAGAAGGTTTCAAAATCGTACTTTTTTTTCCAGGTCTAGAAGAATGTGTGTGCGTGGTAAAGGGAGAGAGAACAACAGCGCGATTAACAGCATATGTGTGTGTTTGCATCCTGTCTGTGAAATTAGAAACACAAACACATCCGATCTTAAACAAGCTTACACCATCCAACTTCTGTGAGCAATTACAAAAGTATCGACAACATTACACACCGACTTTGACATGCTAGGCTTAAACCCTTCACCTTTCCCAATGAGTAAACACACAGATCGGTGATAAAGCTAATGGGGCTCCTGCAAACGAGCCACACGGGGAGCAAAGAGAGAGGGAGTGATCCATCTCCATTGTAGGTAACCTTCTCCTCAGTCCAGCCCGGGGACACGGGAACCACCGCAGAGCTTGTGCGGTAGTTCATGAACCTGTCTGTCTGCTGTCAGACTGCTGTCACACACACATCAGGGAAAGCATCAATACACGCTGGCCTTTCCCCTCGTTTTTCCAGGTCTATATGTGCGTGTTTTGATTGCTGACGGCCATGTCAGGAGTCAAGTAGAGCCTCTTAAAATGTGGCCTAGGGGCAAGGGTCATCCGCTAATGAGTAAAAGCTTTTTTTCCCCTTTGTTGGCAGGGAGGGAGTAAGGAAATGTGCTCACTAGGTGGTAGCGAGGTGAAGAGGGGGAGAGAGGGGAGGAGAGAATGTGTGAAGAGATGGGTAGTGGCAGGGGAGAGAAAGGGTGAAAGGGCCCAAAGGGGTGGACGGTGGTGGGGGGTGTCAGGAAGTAGAGCAAAATGGGGAGACAAGAGGTGAGGTCTCAGGTGAGAGGGGGTGATAATGATAAACTGTGCTTCTCTGCCGTGTCTCACAGACAGATGGAAAAAATGGGACGAGAGAATAAGATGATTAAAGTGAGTTTAGGTTTAGAAAGCACTTGATTGAATTACTTTTAAAAGTCCAATTCTGCAGCACAGGCAGCAACCATGTGGCTGTGGTGGTTAAAGTGAAAGCTTAAGTCTGTTTGTCTGGTTCTCAATCCCTATGACAAGTCAGACTTTAAATAACCAAAATAACTACACTTGACTAGCTCACGAGCAGCTCAGGTTTTACTGTATCAATGGGAAATTTTGGCAATAGTCCACAAGATGAGGATTTTTAGAACTTTAAGCCGCAG